TTAAGTTAACTATAGCTATAACCAGCAGGCAGTTTTCTGTGATGCAGTAAATGCATTTTAAAGTCAAAACCAGCCTCAAACACAAAATATTGGCTTTATCCATGTCCAGACTACAAAAACATTTCTTGTGAAAACAAAACCACAAACACCTGTATTCCAAAAGACAGCATTCTAGGTTTGTTCTTGATGTCCTTTAGTTTAGTGCATCGTATGGATTAGACGTAAAATACAAAGTGGTGTCTATGAACTAATTTGATTTCCCAAGTCTACAGGATAACACAGCAGACTAAAATGAAATACTAGATATGGGAGATGTTTCCTCTGTGGCATACTGTATTCACTGAAGGAAATTACAGTGGGATGAGAGAAACCTTTTTGATAGCATCCTATAATTAAGTCCAAATTGTTGCTTTTGTCTGTGTCCAAACCCACTCCATGTCTCTTGTGTATAAACCAGCAGACACCACTGGCATGAGCAAACTCGTTCTCTTTAAACCTAGCAATAATGACACAGCTGACATCTTAATGGTAAATGAGCATAAACAAAGCCTCAGCTTCAAGAGAAACTGTCAAGTAAAAAACAAATGCTGTTATTCTTCATTGCAAGCCCCACAATCCAACGCATCCAAAAGTCAATATTCACACTTGGCAGCTCAGACAAAGATGAAGACGAGGTGCGAGAGTACAAAACATGGTGCCTTGTAGAGCAGGCCTAAAGTGCCACATGCCATCAATGCAGAAAAGCTCCATCTTGCTGGAAATTTGCCTCAAAGTTGAGATGCTAAAAGGCTTTAAAAAATATATATCGTAGTCATATATTTTGCTATTAGACAAAAAAAAAATTAACACAACAGGAGCCAAAGCAGAGAGGCAAAAAGATCTGACTCTGTTGTTAATAGAGCAACTGTAGCGATGGGGGTGAGGTCTACGTACAGTGACTGTAGCTCAAATCTAATTATATAACTTTTCAATATTTTCTCATAGAACAACTACAAACTTATTATATTTGCATGTAATAGTTTAACAAAAAACTGTGTGTAATATTTATGTTAAAGGGCAATAACAAATGAATTTTGGGTAAATATTTCCAATGAAAATTCTCATTGACTTGCAGAACGAATCTTTATTGCAATTACAGCTGCTAGAATTTTGTGGTACATCTCTGCCAGTGTTGCACATCTGTAGAGTAAAATGTTCTGACATTTCTTTTCAAAATTACTCGAGATCTTTTAAACTGGATAGAGCACTTCTATCTAATTTGATCACAGCTTCTCAGTTTCTTTGTTTGTACTTAGTTTAAGCAAATGTAGCACAAACAGATGCTTTAATCCTAACTGTTTCTCTGGATTTTTTTTCTTCCAGAATGGCCCTTTATATGGTCAATTCACCTCCCCATCCACTCTATATGGCTTCCCAGTCCCTGCTGATGGAAAACATGTCTCTAAAGCATGATTCCACTGCCATCAATTGGCAGTTTGGCCCTACCAGCTTTAGGGTAAACCTTTAGCTATCATCTTTTTACTAATAAGAAAAAAAGTTTCAGAATACATGGAATACATGGAATACAGAATACATGAAGTCAATTATCAAGTCTTGCCATAAATTGTTGGTTGATATTTCTCCCCAGTTTTACTCTTTTTCTGCTGGAGATTAACACCCTAGTGTTGATGCCACAACCATGTTTTCCTTTGAGTTTAGCTCATTGTGCAGTGTCATCTTACCAGTGTGCTTTATTCCAAAATGTTTACTGTTTTTCCATCATGGCTTGTGGCAAAATACAAAATCTTTCCTTCTGCCAATCGTTTTAAGTTGATGGAGTGAACATCTAATGGTTTCTCGCACCTGAGCCACAGATATCTGCTGCTCTTCCAAAGTTTCATTTGAACTCCTGATTAATGCTCTTCTCATAGAGTCTACATTTACACCATGTTTTGCAGGTGCCCCATTTGCCCTCCATTCTTGGATGATGGGTTAGATAATACTATGTGACATAATTTGATACTGCTTTTAACCTCACAGGTTAAAGTAAATAATGAGATAAAGTGAGTCGCTTACAGTGATTTTGTCATACAAAGTGGGATGGACTACGACATTTCATTTAGGGATATCAAAATAAAAGAGAGCAATTCCCACAAAAATGTCTTCAATATTTGCTTTTATTTTCATTTGAAGCACACATATCCCTTTACTTCCTGTCCATAATTCTATTTGACTTATTACAAAAAATAAAAATAAAAATCAATACTCTCAGGTTTTGTGGCTTTAATATGATAAAATCTGAAATAGAAGAGCCAATACTTTAAATGCACGGTAACCTGTGGGGATTTAAAATGAGGGAAAGCTGCTTCTGGACACTGATAGAAAGTCAATTTGAAAATAAAGTGGACACACATTTCACCCCAAACCGTGCAAATGAATATACCTCTTGGCATAAATTGTCAGGTCAGTGCACAACTTGTTTGACCTACAAGATGAATATAAAGCAATGACAGAGAGAGCCATATTGTATTGATTGATAAATGCATTTTCCCTCTGTGTACAATTGGCTATCTGTCAGAGCTGTGAACATCACCAGGAGCACAAATATGACCTTCTACCTTATTGCTTGCCTTTTTTGTTCTGCGTGGCCTTGAATCCTCAAGTTAATATCTTTGCAATTTTCAAAACTGTTGCAACTCTGAAGAATGGAAGCTCTGAATACTGAGAGAGTGGTCAGGACAGCTTAGATATGGAATTAGTTTTATTCATGAGGAACATTGTAATATATGAGAACTCTGGTGCTGTACAGTTATGTAAAAGGTGTCTAATTCACTCCATTTTGGCTTTTATCACAGCTATCAAAAGCTTAAAAAGCAAGTATTTATGATCATGCAAATGAGGGTAGCTCTTAGCCTACATTTTGTGCAGAGGGGAAAAAAATAAATAAAAAAATGGTTAAGACTTCTGAGTCCACTAATATGTCCTCTTTTGCCAAAGATTTAGAGTCTATTAATTCTCCTATAATGACTCTTCTTTACCAGCCTGTTTAGTAATTTGTAACAGCTTCCTTCTCTTGCCCTTTTTGTTCCCATAAATCAAGCTCTCATTTGAAATGACTTTGAAAACAACAAGGGCAGAATAATGCAATGACATGGTTGTTTATGAACAGATGATTGTCAGCAGGTATAAAATAGTGTTTGAAGTGCAAATGTTATATTTGAAAATGTTGATAAAAACAATATCGTAAAGCAGGCTTGTTCGTTTGAAGTTGCTGATAAAAAATCGCAAACTTCCCCATGGACATAGTCTCTCATGATTGAAATTTTTGACTGATGTTTTTCCTCCCTAACTTATTTGCAAACTCTCTTTTTTATTCACACTGTGTTTGAGTCCTAAATTTACCTTTATTTGTTGCCAATATTTATATGCATTTTGAGATGCATATAAATGGAATTAGATGGAATTAGATTAAGCTGTTGTCTCCATAAATCCTTCCATCCATCCAGTCTGTTTCTTGCATATATAATATTTATACTTAAAAATATATTTAAAAGATATCTCTGGTGCTTTGACATGAAAACTGTGCAAGAACTGTTTATTCTGTTTAAAAAAGTAATTTTTATTTTATTTTATTTTTTTACAAAAAATAACATAGCAGTATTCCTAAATGTCTGACCCGTATTCACAATCCAGCGTGTTGCTTTGCCGGCAGGGTTGGATATAGATTTTAAAACTCATCTACGTCTCATCGATAAATCATTTAGGCCCAGAAACAGCTCGCACTAGCCCTGCACGTTCACGGTTGAATTAAACGAGCAAATAGTAACCAGCTCTAGGAAACCTAATAGTAAAGCACAGCAAGCAGATGTCTTGTAGGTGTCAGAAGATTCAAAGAGTTGAATAAAAAATTACATTTCACTTTGTACATGTGTATTTTTTTCTGAGCAAAGGCAGAGGAATTCATTAAAAGGCTCAACCCTCACAGCAACAGCTGACAGGCAAGAATTTGTCAGACAGCCTAATACATGGTGCGGTGTTGTGTACAGTGATGAAAATTATTTTAGAGAACAGGCGTTGATTTGACAGCACCCCAGCAAGATTTTTTTTTTTTTTTTTAGTATAATGCATTTTCACTTTTTTATTTTCCACAGGAGTACAAGCTGCTATTTTGCTCATTTGCATGCCAAAAAACCCAAATGGAACAACCTTGCACTCTTCAAAGTAAGTCTCCCAGGAAATGGAGGAGAGCATTGGGTTGCACATCTTATCAGAGGTGGCTACATTTTTCCTCATGTTGATCCAAATCTGGGGGAGCTCTGCATATTTACAAGACAAATTCATGCAAGCAAGGCACTCCCTATTAATATCACACCTTGCAAGCTTTATCTTCATTAATTGACAGGATTCTTTGTCAAATATATTTGATTATAATAAACATCATAGTATTCAAGAAAACTGCTTCACTTGCTTTTTTTTTATAAATTCAAATAATTTATTTTACAAAGACAACAGGAAAAACAGAATGACAGAAATCTGTGTATTGAAAATCAAATAATGTAACACGAGGAAATGAAAGAGGTGCACCAATCAATCAAACAAGGAGAGGAAATGGCAAATATCCCCATGAGCCAGATACTGACAAATGTTTTTTCTCTGTTTATTAAATGCTTCAAAATTAAAATATCCTTTTTGTTATACATCCCATAAACCAACATCATGTAAGTTTGGTTTGATTAGGTTTAAAAAGCTTTAATCCATGAATTTGGATGAAACTGATACTCCTTTTTTTCTGTATTTAATGTATATCTATTTTTTATACACAATAAATGAAGTATGTTTTTTTTTTCTCTTTCATGTGTAGTATTTTATAGGAAAAAGGAGAAAAGGTCAAAATTGAAAAAAGGAAGGCCAAATGAGAGCAGGAAAAGCCTGATCAGTGCATATCCAATATCAATCTATCATATGTTAATTTTCTCCATGAACAAATATGTACATCCATTAATTTATACTATAATACAGACTTCTACATCTTTACACAAAAAAAAGATTACCTGTACATTTTTGTTAAAAGATAGTTGCAACTTCGGATTCTGTAGCAACCGTTACAATGTGTGGAATCTCCTTGTGGGCCGTGGCCCGACCTTCAACAACTTCATGCAGTTGTTGGGGAAAGTATGAAGGAAGTGTTCCAGATCTGGAAAATGTTTGCATGCTGCTTCTTGGTTTTGGTTGGTTTGTGCTGTATCCACAGTCCTTCCTAATGCTGTGAGGATTACTGAAAACAGGCATGGGAGACAGACCTATGGAGTAGGCATTTTCTCTGGGGTTTCTGTAGCCCCTTTGTGGGATCACACAGTAAGCACTTTGGCAGTCCCTAGATAGGCTATTGCCAGCACCTGAAACAAAGTGAGACAAAGCAAATCCAGATTATAACAAGTGCAGATTGTAAGTACAGTAACCAATGCTAACTATTTATAGTAATGTGCTGACTTTTGTGTTTTAAGCTAGTTGTTTTGGCAATTCTTAAAATAACTTTTGTTATTATGTAGGTAAAAGGTTTACCTTTACTGTTATTATATAAAATAAATATCATTATTTCTAACATGTAAGGCTGACATGATTGATCAGATTAATCTGTTATTGAAATAGTTATCAATCAATTTTGTTATCGAAATCGAATTGTAAGCAAGACTTATGGTATTTAAACAGTAATTAAGAAATGTAACATTTATAACTATATATATATATATATATATATATACAATCTTTCCATTAAAGCTTAAATTGTTTCTTTATTTACATATTTCTCTATGTGGTATATTTTTACATGTTCTACCATTTGCAATTAATTTGAAATGTGCAGTAAAGGTTTTTTTTTTCTACATTCATGGTGTTTGTTCATTTAGGATACCAACTTACTAAAAATATCTCTTTTTAGACCAAACAAAAAATAATCATTAGAGTAACCGATTATTAAACAATTGATAGGTGCAGCATTATTCAAATATTTAAACGTTTATACATCCATTTTCCATCATGTTTATCCCTGCTGGGGTTGCAAGACAGCTTATCTCCAGCTGTTAATGGGCAAAAGTTAGGGTACAACTTTGACAGTTCGTCAGTCTAGCTGTTCACTGCGCAGACCATTTAAAGTAAAAAAAATATATATATATTTCATTGATTTGTATTTAGTTGATTGCCTATCTTTTTAACGACTACATCACAACATTAGCCTTTAACATTTTTAAATGGGGAAAAGAAACTGTGATAAAGGTGAATTCCAAACCTTAGTGTCTGGTTAAAACATAGAATAAATTCAGGTTAATATCTCAAATCCTAATTTGCTTTCTAGGGATTTTATTTGATAGGCCAATACAACCTTGCGGAAAACTCGGATGGAAAAAGACAATAAAGCATTTCATTCAATTTATTATTTCAAATAAAATATATATCTGAGAAATGTGGCAGGATTTCTATTTCAAATTCAGCACTCCTAAGAAAATGTTTTCATGATGCTATGTTCAGGTTGCATTTTAAGTTACTCTCCATATACAGTGTTTTGCATATTAAAAAAAAGCTGTATTGACCGAGCATAAACCAATGGCTGCAGCAGATGTTATCTGTCCTCCCTCTGGAAAAAATCATGTATATATTAAAGGACAAACAGGACCTGTTTGACCGCAGTTTCCAAAGACTATTTATTGGAAAACAAATCCTGTCAATTTTAATTTCTATTATAAGAGGCTAAGTATGAAATGTGATCAGTTGCATTGGAATAAATGTTGTATGAGGCAGTTTGTTGTTTGTATTTTATTTTGACTTGAACAGTAACGTAAATATTGCTGTGATTACATTCTGTATATTGTTCAAGATGTTTGTTTAAATTGTTAAAATTTAAATAAATATATTTTGGAAAAAAAAAAAAAAAAGCTGTATTCATTCGTAGGTATCAATGTAAAGAGCGGGAAAATAGGCCAATGACTTTTATTTGTATAAGAGAAAAGTATGTTTCATTTATTTCCCTCTTCCCAAATAGCCACAACTCTGTGTTGGCATCAGACAAGACCCCAACACAATTGTTGAATTTTGTTAGGTTGGTAACTCTAAAAAAAAAAAGCATTTTTAATCAATGTGGATAGTTTTACAAGGCCTGTAAAAGGATTTTAAAAAGTTGCCAAAGGCTTAGCTCTCTCTCTCTTTCTCTCTCTCTCTCTATATATATATATATATATATATATATATATAGAGAGAGAGAGAGAGAGAGAGCTAAGCTATATATATAACAATATAGAAACTAAGAACTCTTATCTAAGTTTTTTCAGAATGATAAAGGCAGAATGGACATTCTTTTACAACAACAAAACGACAACTATGAGGTAAAGTAAAATTAAGCAAACAAACCATGTACAGACTAAAATTGAATAGTATTTTATCTTATATAATATTACATAAAATAATAATTTGAAAAAAAAGGCTACAACATTCAAAAAATGTAAAAGTTATACATTTTACATAGTTTTTAATGTTAAAAAAAGTAACCTGGAATATGTAAAATTAAAAAACTTACTTTTTAGTCTGGGTTGGAAGGTGCTGAAGTTCTTTTTGCCTCCATCTCCACTTATGTCAGAGTCACTGTCATTGAAGTCACTGTCCCCTTTGCCACTGTCCTTCACGCTCAGTTGGTCATTGTTGCTGAGGCCACTGCAATAAACAAAATACATAATGAGCCACAAGCACACTGCATTAGCCTTAATTATTGATGTATTTTTATATGCAAAATCTAGGTCTTCGCTGCCCGTCTAACCTCAATCTACAAACATGCCAACATCAATACACTGCATGCATGGATGATAAGTTAAATGTGGTTTCTTGTCAGCTGGGTTTTACCTCTAAAAAGTATATGAGAAAAGAAATTACCTCACTTGCAAGCAGTATCTGTCACCTTGCCACACAGACGTTGGCTGGAAATGCTTGGAGGGCAAGAAGATCTAAGAGAGCAAACAGTGACAGCGCAGAGCTTAGTTTCCATTTCTGGCACATAGATCAAGGCAACAACGTGAAGCTAAAAAGATGAAAAGTGCTGGAAAAACACTAAATGACTCACCTTCAAATCTGAGTCTCTGCTCCTCTCCTCATACAGGCAGGAATCATCCAGAGACAAAGATGTCCTCTCGTGGAAGAACCCCTGCTGGCCTGTGTAAATGTTTGGTTCTGTAGCGCTGAGCATGGAATGGGGCCTGCCGTTGAACAGGCCCTGGCGTGCTTCTCTTTTCCTGCCACGGTTTCTTCTCGCCCCCCGGCTTAGTTTGCACGTGAGAGTGACAGCCACAATTGCAATTATCAAGAATGCACAGCCCCCACTGAGGACAATGATGATGATTACTGAGCTATCGAGTGAGGAGCCTTTCTCTTCACTTGACCGTAGAACAATGACAACCTTGTCTTTAGGGGGTTCTGTATCTGAAACCACAAACCTAATAGTGGCGCTGCAAGAAAGAGGGGCTCTGCCATTGTCACTGGCTGTGATTTTTATTTCCAACACGTCCCCTATTTCAGCTGTCAGCCTTTGTTTCAAAGCAATCTCGCCTGTGTTTTTGTTCATGGTAAACAGATTTGAGTCATCTTGCAGAATCTGGTAGAAGAGCTCACCATTCACCCCCTCATCCGCATCTTCAGCTACAACTTGAAGGGCGAGATAGCCTGGGGGGGCGTTGTAGGGTAGAGTGATATCAGCAGAGTTATTCAGCAGGAGAGGTAAGGTGAAAAATGGATAGTTGTCATTCTGATCCACAACTCTGATCCGGATTGTTGAGGTGCTGGAGAGAGAGGGGGAGCCTCTGTCTTCTGCTTGGATAACCACCTCAATCTGCTGGAGTGTCTCATAATCAAAAGATCTTAATGAGTACAAGGAGCCTGAAAGCGAGTCTACAGAAACATAGGTGGACACTGGGGATCCTCCTGGTATCTCTGAGTCTAAAAGTTTGTAGGAAACTTTGGCATTCTTTCCCATGTCAGGATCTCTAGCAACAACAGTGGTAATATATGAACCAGGAATGTTATTCTCAATAACTGAAACTTCATACACAGACTTACTGAAAAGAGGGGGATTATCATTCTCATCTGTTACACTAATAGTATACTCTCTGACGGTTTTAAAAGGAGGACTTCCCAGATCTTCTGCCACAACAGTCAAATTATATTCTTGGATCTTCTCCCTGTCCAGGGTAGCCGTGGTAACAATCATAAAGGTGTCTCCATAAGCCTGCTGCAGCCTGAAATGCTCGTGCCCAAGCAGGCTGACGCGCACGTACCCGTTGGAGCCCGAGTCTCTGTCCGAGGTGCTGATCAACGCCACGAAGCTCTCCGCGGCCGCAGCCTCTGTGATGTAGGCCACCCTATCGCTGCTCGAGGTCATCGGCTTGATGCTGATCTCCGGAGCGTTGTCGTTTACGTCTACGACCTCGATCATGACCGTGCAGGTGGAAGGAGCAGAGTTCTCACCCCGATCAGATGCTCTTATGCTCAGCTCGTACGATTTCCTCTTCTCGAAGTCAACCTGCGCCTTTAGAGTCACATCTCCGGAGTAAGGGTCGATGTGGAAAGTTTGGGCCGCTTCCGGTGACAGCTCGTCGGGGAATGCATACACTACTTCACCGTTGATGCCCTGGTCCGGATCGAAGGCGTGCACTTTCAGCACTCGGTGCCCCAAAGGGGAGTCCTCGTTCAGCTCAACTTTGAGGGAGCTGTGCTCAAAAGTCGGACTGTTGTCGTTAAAGTCCAAAACTTGGATGTGCACGGTCATAGATCCGGACTTTGAAGGCGATCCTCCGTCAGACGCAGTGACCTGGATGGTATAAGAGTCCTCCACCTCCCTGTCCAGCTCACTCACCAGCACCAGCTCCGCAAACTTTACTCCGTCCTCAAATTCACGGACTTCCACAACAAAGTGGCTAGAGGGGGAAATGTTGTAGCTCTGTATGTAATTCTCACCAACATCCTCATCGAGAGCGATCTGAAGCGGAAATCTGGACTCCAGGGGGACGTTTTCAACTATTTCCAGTCTCGTTTCGTTGAGTGGGAAATAAGGAGAGTAATCGTTAATGTCTTTCACCTCGATCTCCACATGGATGAGCTGAAACTTCTCCCTGGAGTGTGCAACGATGTCGAAGGTGATGAAGCAGCGGGGTGACCTGGGGCAGAGCTGCTCCCGATCGATCACCTGCGCGACGCTCAGGAGTCCATCATTTTCCCGCATGTGGATCACTGAGTTGTTGCTCTCCTGCATAAAGCGAAAAGATGTGTCCGGGTCATCAACCGGATCAATCTTTAAATCTTGAGATAAATTGCCTATCTCCGTCCCGGGTGCATCCTCTTCATAGGTAAAATATCTGGTTGTAGTGCAGTTCACGGTAAACGCAAAAAAAGTTAAGAGAAGCCACACAAATGCGGTTTGGAAAAACGCCATGCTGACAAAATGCTCATCAAACAATGTAAGTGGGACTGAACTCCTATCTGATTCCACCTCAAAGTTTGCAGAGGGACTTTAAGCCCCAGTGTATGCAAATAGCCCGCCCAGCTGACCAATGGCCTTCCAGTGGCACCAAAAGGAAAGGTTTGGCGCTACAACAAATTGCAGCTTATTGTTTAGGTACAAATGGCTCATTAGACAAACAGCTGGAGCTCTCAATCGGGCAGACATCAGATTCCTTACATTAATCTGCACGTGGCAATTAATTATCTAACTAAATTACTTGGGGGGACAGGATAATAAGAACACACGCCTCCGGAGGAGGGGACAGGTCTACCTGTTTTAAGCTTTGAAAGGATTTACTGGGAGAGCAGTCACCCAGTGAGAGAAGTTAACAGACACATGTCAGTGTTATTAGAAGTGGTGCTAAAGTTAACAAGGGCACACAGATGTAGAGAGTTGGAAGATAATGGCTGGTGCTATGCGCAGTAATGGAAAAGCCCTGCAGGCAAAAACATACAGAGATATTCAGAGGTCATAAAATGAATTAAAATGCACGCAGAATTACTACCTCTGGAATAAAAAACTAGTTTGGAAAATTAAACTTAGAATGAGTCTGTGATTATGGAGAACGCACAGTCATCATTTTACCCTTTATGTTGGATTCGTGAAATGTTATTTTAGTTCATATTCATAAATTTCAAAGTCAGGTAATGTGTGTTTCACACTTTTATCTCTATTAAGTGGATGAATCATGTCTTAACTTATCTATATGTTAGTACAATATGAATATGAAGAGTAAAACTGTCAGACTGCAATAATGAAATAAGTAGCAAATATGAAAGAGAGGAGTTTATGAAAGGAAAGTGTAATGTTACATAACATTTAAACGCTAGTGGCAATATCCTTAAACTGGAAGCTCAGCAAATGAAAACAGTTCCGACAGACAGACAGACAGACAGACAGACAGACAGACAGGCAGACAGACAGACAGACAGACAGACAGA